GCAGTGTTTTGGAGGCCCTTACTATCAAGGCTGCTGAGCTGCAGAACCTTGATAGACATGAGCCAGATAAGCCAGTGCTGAGAAAAAAAGAGGTTAAATTGCTCCCCTGAGGATGTTCTGTTCTTAGACACAAGAGGGAGAATATTCCTGTCTTTCCCTCCTGGCAATTTGTCCTTGGTGAGGATCAGATCGAGCCAGTCAAGTCCCAGACCTCCCAGAGGCCTCTTTCCCCTTTAATGCCTGCGGATGTGAGCCAGGCAAACATTGCTTGGTGCAGGATTTGCCGCTCTGTTACTCTCTAGGTTAGACCTTAGCGCAAAGACTGCTTGCATGGCTGCTTGGCACATGTGCCTGCTTTGTGGATTGCTACAGACACACTGTAAAGGGGCCTGTTCATCATGTGAACTGCAAAGATCGGGCTTCAACAGGTGCCGCATAAATAGCAGTTCTTTTGTCCCTGCTGGAGTCCACTCTCTTCCTTGCTTGCATTCCCACCACCTTAGCTGTGTCCAGCTGAACCATGGCAGTGTTCGTGAGTCTGGGCAAGAAAACTCTACACACCAAATCAGAGCAGATCTGCAAAGGAGGAGCAGTAAGACACATCAGGGTTTTGCTTTTCATGAGACAACAAAAGAAAAAGAGGGCTCAACACTGAAAAATGGAAAGTGTTTTTCTTTTCTGAAGTAGAAATTTTTCTTTTTTTTTTTTTTTTTTTTTTTGCCTGCCCTGAGAACCACTAGGCAGGATCTGAGATGTGCTGGGACTGAGGATCAGAGGTGAGATTCTCAGCTGCTTCCCTAGCCTCTTCGTGCGAAGTGGAGGAGCAGGAGGGGCAAGAAGGGGGTCTCTGAGCCCATCTTCAGCTGGTGAAAGGCTTTCACTGTGGAGATGTTGTGGAAAATGGCCATAAGCCTGGTCTCTGAGAAACACTGTGGGGACACGCAGAGTAGGAAGGGGAATGTGGGGGATGCAGGAAAACATTGGGATTGTCTGTATTGCAACAAGGGCCACTGAGCAACCAAAAGCTATCATAGCATATGTCCCTGCAGACCATGTTGAAACCCCCTAGAAACACAGACTTTGGCTTCTGAGAGCGGGGGATGGGAACTAATTTAGCTTTGTGTTTTTCTTTGTTAAATCCCTGAAGATTATCGCTCTAGACTGGCATTATAAAAACTACCTATTCTTATTGCTAACATCTATTTACAGGCATCTGGGAGAGAATAGTTTGCTTAGGTTAGCATAGGACTCCTGCTGCCTGGTGATATTTGGAAACAGGGAAAGAAGTTCATCTGCATTTCAGAGCTTCCAGGCAGACTGAACAGGGATCCTCAGATCTCATCCTCCTGCTCATTCTTTAAAAAATTATCAGAAAGGTTAAAATAACCGATTTTATGGGGAGAGAAAAAAAAAAAATCCTTCTAAAACTTTTCCTAATGCATGAATAAAATATCCCAGCTAGGATTCTGTGCAGATAGAACAAGCAGCTCTTCAGCCATGTCCCCTGCCCAAAGCTGTGCGCACTGCAGTTGAGGAACCTGTTTACTGAGGCCTGCCTTGGGTCTACCTAAGCCAGGGGACAGCCTTGTTGGAAATGCGTCTCCTGCCCTGTTGTATCCAATGTGGTATTGACACTTCTGTCTCCTTCCTACCTCATCCTGTGTTTGGTTTGACAGAGGCAGCAGGCAGCGATCCTCCCCGAAGTTTGTCAGCGACCACAGCAGCTGCGTGCCCTGCCCGTTCTGCCCAGCCCTCTGCTCCGCTGATGGAGGACAACAAACCGCCCAGACATCGCCACGCCAATCAGACCCCACTGCCCAAAAGGTGGTAACAAGCAGGGACAGAGCTGTTGGGGAGCCCTGCGATCCCACAGCTCCTCACTTCAACTTCGTGCCCTGGCTCCCGTTCCCTACCGGGGAGAGGAGTGCTCCCCTTCCCCCGCTGGCTCTGTGTTTTTAACCATTCATTAAAATTTATTAGATGCAATCTCCATTCTCGGCTGTGCTAGCACAGAGGCTGAAATTCAAGGTGGGTGTGGGTGCCTCTGAAGATCCCTGCTGGCATATTGTCACACCTGAGCTTCAGTAGAGCAGCTCAAGCTGCCGTGGTTCAAGGACAGGAGTTGTCGCAAAAGCACAAACGTGGACCTGTCGGCCTGAGGCTGGTACGGTCTCAAAACAGCTTAAAAGTAAAGCTAGCTTGAGAGAGGCTCGCCCTCTGAAGGATGCGCTCAGATACCCACACGCATCAGCCTTTCGTGCTGGGGAGCAAGCTCTGCTGAAGCACCTCATTTGGAGTTTGGGAGTTCAGAAGGGATCTGGTGCCCATGCCTCCGCTGGGAACTTGAACTGCCTTCCCTTAAGGTAGTTTTGGAAAATGCTGCCCCAGATCCCCAGGCCCAGAGCCCTCCGGATAAAGTTCCTCTCCCACTCAGGGAGACCCAGCAGGTACTGTACCTCAAAGGCCATGCCTCCACGTCTCTCTGCAGAGACCAGAAAGCAGAGGCAAAGTGGAGTGAACTTGAAAGTGCTGTTCCTAGCCTGGAACCCTGCTGTAGCACTTTCAGGCACTTCAGTAGCCTCGGATCACACGTACGGGCTTGCTTCCTAGTCCTCCAGAGAGGAAGACACCTCCCTGAGGTGGAGGTGGGTGAGAAGTGCTCAGAGAAGAAGAACCCTCCGTTTGCACTCATCTCCTGTGGGAACGTCGGAGAATGTGGAGAGGCATCATCGGGAGACATATCTTGAGCACATGGGTGACAAGTGAAATAGCAAAAATGACAAGGTTTTCTGGCTGAACATTGGAAGGCATGCGTGGCCCTGTGAAGAGAGAGGAGACAGTGTCACGCGGAAGGGCTTCCCGTTCCCTCGGTAAAACAGGAAAGCAGCTGGGTGGAAGGCAGCCCACAAGGGAGGAGGTGGCAAACGAGGACCAAAGGAAGGATGCACTGGATGAAAAGCACAAGTGTTGGTACCGTGTGTGTGCGTGGGGAGTGGTGTCGCTGTGACTTTTCCAGGA